CGATTTTATGGTCAGATGACCACATACAAACGCTTGTAATTTGGTCTTGTTCATAACGAAAGGAAGAAGACCAAATTTACAAGCRTTGGTATGTGGTCACSTGACCATAAAATCGCTTGTATCTCCGCTATAAATGGCRCTAAGACAACCATGTTTAGCAAGGATTCATYAAAAACTATACACTTTCAGAATATGGAGTGCAAATTTCAAAACTCAAAYATTTTCGTTTTCTGACGTCATCACYTTAGTACCAACATTACATGRTGATCACARTGAAATATGACGAATAAATTCAACGAATAACTCTTTTTGTTCTAGTCTCTGATCAATCTGGGGTCAAAGGAAGTCAGCGGTATTTTTTTAATACGACCGTCCATACATATCTGTTAGTGCGTTTTCAAAACTTTTCGGATAGTACTCGTAATAGTAAAGGCCCGTTTACACTTGCGATTTTACAGCGCGATAATCACCACTTTGCTATCGCGCATCTAAAATCGTAAGTGTAAACAGCCCTGCGATTGTTACGGCGATCGCAAATAGCGCCGAAGTTACAGCCAATTTTTAAGCGTGTTCGAAACTCAGCCGATGGTCGCGCAACCATCGCTCGAGAATCATTCTTCAAAAGTCACAATTGCAAACGGGCGTTAAAGTGTTGACGAGACATAAAGAAATGTGTTCGTTCGCCGTTTATCAAARGCCCGCATGCATCCGTGAACCTTTTCGCGATCTTCTCACAAAGCAAAATTGCAATATTTGATTTTGAACCAATCAGAAGGTTACTTTCTGTAAGAGACTACTTGTAAAATAAGTAAATGATCACAAACTAAGATTCTAGATGCAAATGGGCTCTTTAATAATAGTCTTTTGTTCTTATTACCTGGTGGTGCTGGACTATCACCCTGTGGAAGTTCTTCTTCACCAGGACGTAGACCACTTCCTCGTAAATGTGATAAATCTAGCTGGTCCATGATATCTAACGCTACATCTGAAAATAAAAAGACAAATAACTTAGACCCAAAGTAACCCGAGTATCAGGCCTTCGAGGGGGCCTGGGGTATTTCCCCCTCGAGAGCCTGATACTCAGGTTAGAACCAAAGAGAATGCCATTACCAATCACTCCCGTTCTGGCGGAAGAATTTCCAATTTTATCCAATAGTATACTGAAAAATCTTGACAAATGGCAATATTGACTTCTTAGTASACCTAAATCTCTGGAATCATATGGACGAGGAACTGTTTTCGCGATTTTTCGATTGTATTAGGCAACAATATTTATTACTAACCCAATTTTTTTGGTACCCAGTCTTCTCCAAGAGTAAATTTCTTTATTTGTATGACGAGGTAATCGGGGAATGTCACAAATCGAGTAGTCCTGGAAATCAACCATCATGATTATAAGACACAAACAAAATGATAATTTTAATCAAAGTATCGCGTCACTGGAATAAATTTTTTGTGCCGATGTTTTGATTCTTGAGCAAAATCTCAAAATTGAAAAAAAATTAGTGGAAAATTCCTTCACAGTGGCATGATAGTTTTTTTTCAACAACCTACTTAAGTACATACAAAAACTTTTTTTTTTAAGAAAAAAAAGAGTATATTTGCCTTTCATGTGTATTTAAACTTTAAAATTGACCGCCATTTTGTTGTTTAGCGCATGCGCAGTACGTTTCTCTCCAGTGTCTCTGAACCCAAAAAATGACGAAAATATAATCCCTGAGCCCTCGCTCCTCCACTAAGCAAACCGCCGATCACTAATCCTATATACCTCGCTACTACCCTCTATTCTCATTATTTCAAGCATACTTAAGTGCAGTGGTCTTGGCATTAATTGCTGGACTGTAAAAGTCTTGTACGGTTTCTGGTGAAGCAAAGGCTTCAAGRCATGCTGACAGCGATATTCTTGGTCGGACCATCTCGCTAGGATCTCTACAATAATGGAATAACACAATCTAATCAGCTTACGGGAATAAAACTTTTCACGGCTAGTTGGGAACAAGTTGCGCGAGGAGCCTGTGGTTTTGAACCAAAGCGAGGCAATATCGGGCATCAACTCAAAAAGCTGTCATTTTTAGCTTGTTTATCATTTTGTTATGTTAGGAAAATAATTCTTGATAGTGAAAAAAGGCATAATTATGATATTATGTAATTTTGATACAGCGAACGTAAAATAACCATAATAGTATTTTTGTTTCACTCTTTTAAGGGATTTTCAATTGCCTTTTAAGGCAATTTTCAATTCCAGGGTTTTTCAAAGGTTTCATAGTCTTCTCTCGCAACCGTCACTTTGTCGTTTAATATCTCCCCCCATAGACCTTTTCTGAAAAAAAAAACATGGTGTATTGTGGTCTAGATTCAGTATAAAGAACGCCATATTCGATTGTATCGAATCTAGGCCACAAAGCAATCTCAGAAAATTCCTATGGGAACGGCTGAGAGATGAGACTAAGGATTTCAAGGAGTAGCATCAATCCCACAGGATGCAAGACGACAACAACAACTGGTAATATGGGGAATATTGACAAAAATATGATAAGAACTTACAAACGTTCCTTCTTTTCCTCAGCTTGTTTCCTTTTAACCTCGTAAGCATCAAACTCGYCTAAAAGCAATTGGGAATATTGTAAACAAAATACTCGTCTATTCGCGTCCGTGTGTTATGTTGATATGAATCGATCTAAGAGAATCTTGGGATGGTTTGAGGAAATAATGGACTTACAATAATACAATAAAACTAACCTAAAGAAAAGTTAGGTACTGAGAATGTAATCGTCGGATCGCTCCACGTTTCATCAAAGGAATTTTAGAACAATGTAACAACTAATTTTGAGTCGATTCGAACGATTATATGAAACTGCAACTTTACCCAACTTTATAAACGGCATTTATCAATCATTCAATAATGACATCATTCTGGCGTTCACCAATTCAAATACCTTTATTAAGAATAGCTTCTAATGGTACTCCTAATGACAAGATATTGTCCTCTCTTTGTGTGTAGCGAACCTTTCTAGACTGGCTACATTCTATTCTTTCCTCCACCTTGAAAAAAATAGACTTAAATTCCTAGTAGAATCTGGTGAGTGTAAGTTGAAGCACCAATCGTCATCTAGCCTAATGAAGTTATTTGTGTGTTGGCCCGAAGTGCATCATGGGTGCTAGATGTATAATTATTTGGTTTCATCTACATGATCAAGAATCCCTCGAGAAATAAAGAACAAAGCTATCGCCGCCACGTTGGATGACTGAACAAGCAAAACTTAAGAGAATACTTTGTTATCGTCATCGAACATGGAGGAAATGACGTAACGTGAAATCGAGCAATGAAAAAAATAATGAGGACGAAGTTTCTTTACGAAATTAATGTGGTTAATGAAATCTAAAGAAAAACACAAACTGCTGTTTCATACCTTATATCTAAACGAGTCAACTGGATTTAATGGTCCTTTGTTCGCTCTCTGAAACATTAACAACAAAAAAACTAAATTATGATCATAATCATTTGGTACTTGCCTGGCTCTTGCATAAATCGTTTCGGTAGTTAAAGGCTCAGGTGCATCCGTGAACCTTTGCGCGATTTTCTCGAAAAATCGCCATCTTTGATGTTCAACCAATCAGAAAGAAGCTTTCAACAACAGATGTCAGTTTTTTTAACAAGAAAGGATTGCAAAGCTTCATGGATGCTTGTGGGCTCTCTCGAATGTGTGACGTCACATGAAAAATCTAACAGTATATAATAGTTGTTGCTATCGTTTTTCCGCTCCTTCCCTTCCCTAGAGCCGATATTTACCTCCCCCCTTCCCCTAGAGTCGATATTCCCCTCCTCCCCTCCCCTAGAGTCGATATTCCCCTCCTCCCCTGACTCCCCTCCCCTAGAGTCGATATTCCCCTCCTCCCCCTCCTCCCCTCCCATAGAGCCGATACGCAGTCTACAGTTGGTATTCTCACCTCAGCTCTGTCTATACACTCTAATAAATGTGCGTAGAATTCTTGAGCATCTTGTTGTCGATTTGTTGAGAATTCTACATGACCTCGTCCTATTAGAGCTTTGAACATATGGGGTGAGATCCCCTCTTGCTCCTGCGAAAAAAAGTGCAGTCAGTGGTACTCCAATTAAATAGAATGAATCTTGTGAAAACAATGGACAAACAATAGATATTGTACAAATATTAAATGTGTGCAACACTTTCCACTATTTTCTACAAAATAGTGTTAATTAAACAATAGAAAACAATAGAATTAGCATAATTTAGAACTATTTAGTGGTATTTATGTTGCACAGTTTTAGTGTTTGTACTCTACTCTTCCAAACAATAAAAAAAGCTAACAAAACATTTGCAGTAGTAAGAACTAGTGTCCGTTTGATCGYCCCAAGCGCATTTTGCAATTGTTCTATAGCTCTGAAAATGACTACCACACAAGTTGTCTAAACGTCAGTCAAATCAACCAGTCCTTCTCGAAGATAAATCAACCCGGATGATCAATAGCCTTCTTTGCGGCCTCCCCTTTTGTCGGGCTTCCCGTYCTATCCAAAAGAGGAACATGAAGACCTACAAAAGGGGAGGCTGCGAAGGAGACTAGATGATCACATTATAAGTAATGTATACAGAACGAGAGAGCGTGTTGTATCGGGTGATAAAGTTCCGAGCCGAAGGCGAGGATCTTTAGCCCCGATACAACACGCTCTCGAGTTCTGTATACATTACTTATCAAACTCATCAATAATTCATGATGTCATTAGCCAATGATATAATGGGAATCTAATCACGTGATTATACCTTTATATTGGGTAAAAGGTACAGCAATCTTAAAGTTGGGGGCGGCTTTGAATATTTTCAGGGGAGTGCGGGGCTGATTATTATTCAACGTTTTCCTGATACAGACCTAATTAATAAAACATTAGTTCTGTATCAATGATACAGAACGTTCTGTATCATGAGTTTGATAATTGCAAATATTGTTAATTCGACCAATATTGACTGTTACTTCGATTAATATTCATTCATCTGGATTCAGACCTTTCTTCGCAATATGTTCTAATTTCCTCAAAGGTTTTATGTAACAATAATGGAAAAATACGTTTTCGGACAATTTGGTCGATTATATTGTCACTAGCAATAAGTGAGCAATCTATAAGCAGGGTTTGGAGGGTACTAGATTACTCAAGTGTGACCATCTGTTAGATGACCACGATAAAAAGGCCTTATTTGGCTATTCATCGAAAAGTCGAAGGAAGAGCGACGCGAAGAAGGAAACATAAGTAGTAAGCCCACTTACTATATTCTGACTATCTTGTTCTTCAGGTGGTTTCTCGTCTTGTTGAGGTGGATTTGAGTATCGCCCTGACAACATTCCATCAGCAAGTTTCGCCCTGTAAAGGCGCGAAATATTTATCAACTATCTCTATATGTGCATAGACTCGTAATACCGTAGTTTGGTTAAAGGCCTGGGTGAGTTTGTACAAAGGGTGGATAAAGTAATTCAACCGTTAAAATTACCCATTCCTTTGTTTTGTATGGATTTTCAGGGACCGCGGAGTAGGGGGAGGGGGGGGGGTTGGGCTGGGGCTACAGCCCCCTCCTTGTGAAATTTCACTTTTCATTATATGAAGGTTGTGTAAAAACAATTAAAATTGAAGCTTTTTTGTTAAGTCTTTGGGATTTTATTGAATATCATGTGAACGTGTGGTCAGAAATACGTCTTGGAAAACGCTGGAAATGACATCTCCGAGAGTTAAGATTTCAAAATTTTCCTGGGAGAATACCCTGAACCCCCCAGTACCTCCTGCCTTCGGCAGCCGCTACCCCCCTAAACAGATTCCTGCTCCACGGTCCCTGATTTTATGCGCTGTGCAAGTTGGATAGCGTACGACCGACCTCTGATTTTTAAGTACACGGCAAAACACTGAAAAACTAAAAGCAAACAATACAACAACAACATAAACAAAATATGTCTTACATTTGAGAATTGAAGTCACTTGTTGGATCTGCAGGAGCAGAGGAGAGTATGCCTTCACTAAGATCGCCATATCTGATAAGAAAAAATGCAAATATGGATAATTTCTTTACAGCCTGCTTGGGCTTCCTTTGTACCAGTTTTATTGATTGCAAAGGGGACTGAGAACACGAACGATCAGTAGATTTACCTTTGTTGAAACTCAGGCAGAGAAAGAAGGACTTGAATTACTGAGTTCATATAGCACCTGCAACGAGAGCATCATGGTCAGGTATTTCATCGAATTAACAGATATCCGAGTGAATCTTTCGTGCGATATGATTGGTCGAAATAGGAACTGTGCACCGTCGCCATTTTGTTGACAGCAAAGCATGATGGGAGTTTTAGTCCTGCGCATTTTCATGACAATAAAACAGTCCTCCTAAGCAATTTTTGTCTTTTCTCAGGAAAAAAAAAAAGAACTTTGGACCGTTTCTAGGATGATTTTTTAGGGACAATAAAGAGTGCGAGGACTACATCTTATGCCTTCTTGTACAAAATGGCGTCGCGCACTTTGAATATTAAATTGCTCGCCCTTGAAAAGTTAATTCTGAAAAGGAGAAAAATGCTTTAGAGAGGCGCGAAAGGAGGTATTTAAATCTCAAAAGTCTTCTTTTTTCATAAAATATACCCAGTTTCGGTATACTGATATTGGTGTTATAGTTACATGTTAGCAATAAACTTACGTATTGCCA